ATTCGGGTCAATACATACACATATCTCTGGAGAAAGTGACGAATCGGTGGTGGGATCGGCTTATCGTGGATGAGGTGCCACTCATTACTGGCCATAAGAATAGGGAAATCAGTTTTTGTGATCTCAATCAAGAGGAACGGCTGGTGATCGAGAAGCTGACGATTGAACAGAAAGACAAACAAAACAAAAAGTTATGATAACTACTGAAATTTAGTTTCTACTTAAATATCTCTCATTATAAATATGAGTTTCAATTTGTAATTTTAATTAATTTTCATTTATTTGCTTAAATTATAATTTTATAAGTTATAAAATTTGTTTTTTGTTGCACTAATTAAACCAAAAAATTCAGACTAAATTTCATTATCAAATATATTTTATATATGTTTTATATATGTACAGAAAGTTATATTCCATATCTAGTAATAAAATTCAATTAAATTTTATGAACTCTTAAATAATTCAAAACAAAATTTTATATCCTATTAGCCGTATAGAGAAAAACTTAAAACTTTTAAAACGAAAAATAAATTGATTTGAAAGCAATTTTCATAAATTGAAAGCAGACTTAAAACCTTTAATAAGAAAAGTGAATGTGTTTTGTTGTCTGTTGTGGTCATTGAATGCTTTTAGTCATAAAATGAAAGCCTTTTTCGTTGAAAGGATATTGAAATTGTCACAAAATAATAGCAAAATAATAACAGGTGTCAACCCATTAGAGGCTACCAATTGTCTAAGTGATGGCCTGAGGGAAGGGTTGGCTTTAATTCTAAGCCATAAAATCTCTAATGCATTGAATTATATGAACTTAATTTGCTTGAAAGTCGTGATAACAGCCTAACAGTCGTCCCACTGTTTTCACATATAATTCTCATTGTCTAATGTAATCACAATTAACTGTTCATTCATTATAATAATATCACAAAGAAATTGAATTGTGTTTTTCATAATTGAAGAAAATGACGGTTTGTGAGCTATGAATACAAATGAGGTTTAAAATACTATATTTGCTGAACATTTCAACTAAAAAACAAAATTATTATGAAAATCTGATTGATTTGTTCAGATTTAAACGTTATTTCAAATGCAATTATCATTATTTATAAGTTATATTTGACACACAGAATGGGTTTATGTAATTAGAAACTGATTAATAATATCTAAAATTTATGTAGTATTCAAATGCAATGTTTTCTAATAACAATGTGTCGACAAATTTATGGCTTTGCATTAAATATAAAATAACTAATCATATTTAGTCAATAAATATTTAACCAATACTATTTTGGATGTCAGTTTTTTCAAATTGCAGTTTTAATAATTAATTTAGTGTTCGAAATTTCAAACGAGTTGAAAAATGCAAACGTTAATAAAAACTTTATAAACGCGTAAAAATCCTGTTTTAAATCATTTTTAAAACCAAATATGATTTCAATATATCGCGTTTACATATATTAAGTTAATTTGAATTAAAATTACCGTCGACTCGGTACAGTAAAACCAGAATTTATGAATCGCGAGTGTATTATAAATGAAGCGATTTGTGCATAACAAGTGAGACATTGGAGTAATAAATGATAATTTGATTCATTAAACAGAATAACTTAATTGTAATTCTGTTTTATGAACGCATTGTAAATCATGTGTAATATTATAACTGCTCTGATATTAGCAAACATTTTCATTCAATGCTAGCTTTTGTAGACTAAACTTAAACGAATGGAAACCTCTTTATATAATCGAGACTTACTGTTACATTATCAATATATAAATCAAATTAATTGTAAACTCAACGCAAAAACAAACACAACTGATTGGATTGTAACTTTTTCGCTACTTACCGACGATATTATCGTATCAAATTGTAACACACACTGAAATATCAGACATATCAGAGACCATTCACCTGTTCCTCTATTTCTCTATTTATATGTTTGCCTCGACTTAAGAGAAGCCAACGATTGCGAGGGACCAGCCGTTTTGCACATACATTACAGGGCCTTATCTGCCAATTAAGTGACTTCTCGTCAAAAAAAATTATTATTCAAATCTCAATATGTTTTTAATTCCTATGAAATTATGAGAAAATTCATAAATAAATAAAACCATGAATTATAGCATTGAATAACTCATATATTGTTAGTTTTGATTATTTTTCAAATTTATGTTTTACGATTTGACGCAAAAACTTATGGTTATGTTATAAAAATAGCATATTTTAAACTTAAACATAGGATTGCAGTGTAAATAAAGACGATATGAAAAGTAAATATTGAATCTAATAGAAAATGTTTTGTTCAAAACAAAAGCCCAAAATCTTGTTCAACTAATAAGACATTATAAAACTTATTAATTCTCATTCTCTATGTATTAATCAATTGAAGCGATTGAACGATTGACAGCAGAATTGAATTTTAAGTATTAACTAATCAAACAAATTCATTACAAGCAAACTCTTTTCTAACTTTTTAATAGATCCACAGATCGTTAAACCTTTTCGGATGAGAAGACAAAAATTGTTGAGAGAGAGAGACTGAGAGAGAGAGAGAGAGAGAGAGAGAGAGAGAGAGAGGGACTTGTTGTTTGATTAGCATTCAAATGGTTAGAAATGACAATAAGTTAGTTTGTTTTGGAGCCGTAAAGTAGCGCTTCTTATCGTAAGAGAGAGCACAGGGAGTGAGAGGTAAAGAACGGAGGGTTTCGTGCGATAAGACAGAGGAGAGGCGATAGAGAGGCAAAAGTTATTGCAATGAATTTTGGGCCATATTTTGAGATGAATTAATGAAATTGTGGACTAAATATGTTGACTATTATTGGGATATTTGGTTATGAATGTTGTGATACATTAAGGAAATTGTTTATTGTATTTGAGAAATGATTGACTTGTGAGCGATCAAAGGGACCGCACAAACACTATTTTGATTTCGCTTATGTCATAGGTATAGGTGATTGGGAGACTGGCCAGGGATGATAGCTCAGGGCATTTCTATAGCTGTGATGATTTTAAGGAGTTCTGCCTATTTTGCCAAATAAGGCATTCATTGAAACACTTCTTCACTTTGTTTTTGGATGTTTTCTTTCATTCAATTTGTTTATGAGGTCTTTGAGTGCAATGAGTCTGAGTCTGGTTTTTGGTTTGGTTTACACAACACAGTCTGTGCTATGGTTTACACGTATGGATGCCTTAACTCTTGAGCACACATTTGGGATGCATTCAGGATTTGGTTGTATCGCCGCCCAGAAGCTTATGGATGTGTAGTGGAAATGGATGTATGTTACACACAAACCCTGACACACCTACACGACAACACAACCACAACCATAACATCAACATAATGTCATAATATTATCAATCAATACGATAAATACGTGTCAACGTCCGTGACCTCCACGTGACCTTCCATGACCTCCACGTGACCTTCCAGTTACACCAGTGTTTGACGATGCCCGACAAACATTACTATTTAGTGAAGTATCAATTATATTTTGTTTATTACCTACGTTTGGAATTCACATTAAATACAATTAGTACTTTCAAACCTTGTATTAGACACTAACACAACATTACATTTTCCAGCCAAACATCTCTCCAGTCAGTGGAGTGCAGGCATAACACCAGTGCCAGAGAGCCGGTGCTGGAGTGCCAGCCCATCCAACAGTCCTCCACAGCCAAAGCCAACTGAGTCTCGATGTGTTAAACAAGAAGAAGTACTGCAAGAACTGCCACAACGACTGCACGGATATAACGCTACAGAGAAATGAAGTTCACATTAGTTTTAAATGCAAAGTAGAGATAGAATTCATGAAAATAATTCACTATATCTTACAGTAAAGACAAACTGACAACACGGCTAAGGAAAGGGCATTAGTTAACAGGGATGAGAAGTAGGCGTCACCTCATAGTGCATGCGAAGGGCTCAGACTCTCTTCATCGTGACATTACATCTCTGATTAATTATAGTTAGCATCAGAATTAGCTGATCCCCACTACAGCCCCACTACAGCCCCACTCACAGCCCTATTGAGCCCCATCTCATCCCCACTGATTGCCAACTAACTCTCCATTTCATTACATTCTTCGCCCAAACATTACATTACAAACATATTCTGTTCACAGCTTTCGCATTACTAAACACACTAACAGTTAATATTGAAATCAAAACACATTCCCATTAAACGCTGGCAAATGTTCCCTAAGCTTAGGTTTGATAAATCATAAAAATACTTTTGAGACAACTTTCTCTCGCTCCTACCTATTTACGATTTGAATAAATATTTGAATAATCAATGCATTTATTAGAGTGTAAAATGAAAAAAGTTTTATTCAATAAAAACATTTATTGTTTGAAAAGCAAAGCAAAAAAGTTTTATCTCTTTTGTTGAGACCATTCTTTATATCACATCTTCAGTAAGTATTTGTGAAAAGAAAAGTCAAATCTCTAAACAAAATCTTGAAATAATAAAAATACGGTTTTATAATAGTTGGCTCACAACAGGTATGTATAGATTAGGTATTTGTTGGTTACAGTGAAAACAGTAATTGTGGAGCACGTGGTGGTGCCAAGTAGTCAAATAAATAACTCAATGTTATTTCAATGGGGGAGAGATTGTGAGAGAGAGAGAGAGAGAGTTCAGCGAAATTGAACGCAAATAAATAAACGCCAAAAGCCTTGAAAATCACAACTTTCTTAGTATGAGTTTCTTTGGCTCTCTTGTACTGATCCTATGGATCCTAAGGCTGTGCTGTGAGTGAAGACACTGTGAGGGCAGAGGCAGAGCACCAGCACTGCAGCGCTCATACACTCTCTCTCTCTCTCTCTCTCACACACACACAGAGTATTGCAGTGAATGTATGGAAAGCCTGGGGCTCTCTTTGGACTGGTTTTGTGTCTTGGATTCAGTGATTGGTTGGTCTCTCGCGGAGAGGAATGCGCTCTTCAGTCGTTTCAGTCGTTTTCAGTGCAGAGCTGTAGTCATGTTGTGATGTGTTATGTGTTGTAAAGTAAGTGTATATTCAGTCAAAAGTGAGTTGTGATGGTCTGGTGGGGCGACTCTTAGACTACTAGTAGTGCAGTGTTTGTGCGAACAGTGCTTACAATTCTGAAACGAATATGTGTTTTGTGTTACAGAGAGAGAGTCACAGAGAGTGCGAGTGAGTACTCGCTCTCTCGGCTCAGGCCTACTCTCCTTCTCTCTCTCGCTCTCTCTCTTGACTCAAGTGATCGTTTGTGCGCTCATCTCATCCACTATTAGGCTGAGCCGCACAGGCATACCATACCATACCATACCATACCCATAGCCTACACACCACACAACCAGCCATTGATTGCAGCATTTGTTGTGGAATTTACTACACCTTCAGAGCCGTAGTGACTGACAGTCTGTGCGCGAGTGAGCCGTCCGTACGGTAACGGCACCGACAGCCCAGTGATGCCGCACGGCTCCGACGACTTGGCCTCCAGTGATGAACTCAAGGTCTTCAAGGATGAGGGCGAGGAGGAGAACCGGGTGGTCACCGAACACAACCTCAATGATCTCAAATCTAGCCTTATTACTGAGGGGGAACAGGTAGGACATACACCTTACCATACTTTCCCGTACAATCCCTATGTATGCCAATGGGATCCCAACGTAAATACCAAAGCACTTGCCATTCAAGTCAACACAAATGCATATGAAAACAATTCAATGCTTTCCAGGCTTTGAGAAAAATAAAAATTTTTTTGCCACTAATTATGCTATGAATGCAAACGCGGGCTACAAATGAGGGGATAAACCAAATGACCGGAAATATGAGGAGAGTATTACAGTATGTGCTAAAAAGTTTGTACAAAGTTTTGTCAGATGTGGCGATGGTGTAGGCGCTGTCCTACCACACCATCCTTTGTATGGTGTATTTGGCGACAATTAGTCACAAATGTCTGAATATTATGATTGCATTTCATTTGTACACATATTATAGTCTCCACGGATTCTTATCGCTAGAAATCTGTTTATAAGATATGATGAGTATATGTGCTCTGAATATAATGGCATTCAATACCTGACATATCGCACGTCTATACCCACACACCTCTCACTCAAACAAATCAGTCATTTATTTCAATAATATTAGTGTCTGTATTGAATGAATGTGTGATTCTTTGGTTAACCGATTCTGTAATGACTGTAACGCTATGTTTGCTGTTCATATGCATCGGTTTTCCAATGCATGATATGTTGTACACAGACTTGTGTTTAATGAGTGCACAAAACAAAGAGTCGATTCACAGAATATTATTCAAATGAATTGAAGACATGGTTTCAGTGTTTGTTTGAGTTGTTAATTATGGGAATATAAATAAATTGACACATTTGGCGACTCCTTCCACTCCCTTTCCTTTACCACTCACTGTAAGACCCATAAGCCTGTGTAGTGTTAGTACAGTACTAGACATTAGCTCCAAGTGCTCTCTATTATTAACATTTGCAGCAAAAGTTGTTGTATTTATCGATAAAATTAGACTTAAGTTAATGTGAGTTAAGATATTAACTTTGGTTTATCTTTTAATGTTTTATAAGCAATATTTACTTTAATCTCTGGTAATGCCATTAGATTCTGGTTAGGGGTTATCCACACAAAGGAGTCCATTGAGGGCGGGGGAGGGCAGGGGTCTCACTAAATGGACGTCCATTATCTCGTATGAAAAGCTTGAAATCACATGAAGTTTTCGTTAATGAAAACATTTTGTGATTTATAGCACAAGTCGTCGTCGATATACAGTATAAAAGTATTTCATGCGATAACCGATTGGCGAGAAGTAATGACTCAAATAAATGTCTCCTTTTATTTGAATTTAATTGTGAAATTGTTTTGGGGGTCCCGTAGGTGGGGGTGAGCCTTAAAAAATTGAATTTAAGCGAAACGATTGTGCGAATAGATTTGTTGGGGTAGTTGTGATGGTTTTGTGTGTTGGGAAGTGGCCGTCCATTATAGAGATGGCTCCTTAAGACACATCCCATTTGTTTTGGGAGAGAACGTGACCAACAGTGCAGACAAAGGCATCCCTTATAGCGAAGGCTCCAGCGCTCCGCCACTCACTTCGGCTATGGCTATGGCTATGGCTATAGCTCCTTAAGACACATCCCATTTGTTTTGGGAGAGAACGTGACCAACAGTGCAGACAAAGGCATCCCTTATAGCGAAGGCTCCAGCGCTCCGCCACTCACTTCGGCTATGGCTATGGCTATGGCTATGGCTATAGCTATGGCTATAGCTGTTGGATGTGATGGCTGTATGGCTATGACCGATACGAAAACGACAGTCAAAGAGTCGAGTTGTGGTCGTGGCCCAGATGTGAACAACACCACCACGTGTGTCCGTTGTCGGTCACGACCTCAAACCCAATTGACTTGAGACCATACACACGTTGACTTTCTTAACAAGCAGGCGTGGTATTCAAAGTTTGTGTGTTCAACAAGACCAGAGAATGTTAGGCATTTCCATTCCCCAACCATCCCCACCCCAACCCCCCAACACACACACATGCAAACACACTGTGGATGTATAAGCCGTATGAGCTGTTCTTCCACCTCAAATCCCAAACCCAACTCCAGTCTCAAGTCGTTAGTGTCCGGAGTAGTGGAGAAATTCACACAACAATAGGTTTTGTTACTTCGAGTCAAACTAATATTTCATGCCTATTGTGTTGCACCACAACCTGTATAATAGCGCTGCCACTCCGCCTGTCCTTTGTGGAGGTGGGTGTCAGCACTCATGAATTCTGGACCCAGTAATCAGTCATTAAATCTGTGAAAAAACCTTAGAGAGAGAGAAATCTCTCTCTCCTTCTGATAGCCAATCGACTCGTAATCATAACATTTAGATTGCGATTGAAATCAAATCCACAATCATTTGTAGCGCAACAGAGAGCGAGAAGTTTTTCTTTGCAAATATTTTTTGGCAAATCATAAAAAATTTATACTCTTTTACTCTCTCTTCAGAAAATGATAGAAATCGAGTCAAAAGAGCGTTCAGTTCAGCACTTAATCCTTGAAATAATTTTCATGTGAGAGAGAGAGGCTCCAAGAGCTGACAAAAATGAATTGTGACTTCGAGTTAAGAAAAATGTTAAACTGCTTTTCGAGTTAAATATTTTTATTAGAAATAAGTTTCGTAAAAAAATATATTTAAAAATCTAACGATAAAAATAACGACCATTTCGTTTCAGTTAGTGTGTGAGAGTAATGAAGGGTTTGTTTGTTTGAATTCAATTAAATCTTTCGATTTCTCTCTCATTTCAAACGAGAAATTCCCTTCAATTAAGTCAATGAGAGAAATGTTTTTTTTTCTGGAATTAAGTCTTTAGTAAAACTTTCAAAATTCTTGTCTTTATGTTATTTCGTTAGAGAGAAAGCTTTTCGTTTGACTCGTTTTTATGTGTTTGTGATTTGCATCTAATTATATTATGTATTGTAATCAAAGTGTTGAATGTTTTGTTTTTTAATAATTGAGTGTAAAATAAACACAGTATAACGTAAGCTATATTTAATTAATAAAACAAATATTTAATGAATTACGCCATTAAGTTATGTAACAAATAATTGAGTCGTTGTTTGCCATCAAATGACAGGTCGTTTTAGGCGGCAATTCTTTGAACATCACTATAAAGGGGACAACTTTTTGGTCTCTTGGGGGAGGTGTGAGGCATATAATACAGTGCCGTATAATAGAGGAGTAATTCCAGGGCACTCTTATTGATGTAATGCATAATAAAAACATACGAAAAGTGTTCGCAATTGAAGCTGAATTCTGGTTATAGATTGACAAAAGTGACAAAATTCTTAACAATGAATTCGTGAATAAATTGTGAATTTCGGATGAATAGGGCGATAGATATGATTGTCGTATTCAATGGTTTAGATATTCGGTGAATGGTGTCTAATATAAGGTATACATTATATGCGCGTATGAGTTGTGCCAACAAATCACTCCTCTTTTTCGCACTTCCATTGGTCGACAAAATAATCGATTGACGTATAAAACTGTTTTGACTTACATTAGGTCTCCGTTTTAGATCCCATTCCCGACTCATTCTTCGCCTATCAAATGCTGAGCTGCGCTCTAATCATCGATTCATCACTTCATGAGACTCTCATCTTATTATATCTCTCGCTGTACAGTATACACTGTATACCTTTTATATACTGTATATATCCTGCGATTTTTGTGTCTCGAAAATTATTATACACTTTTGAAAAATATATTGCTCTCAAAAATCGCGTCAATTGTTGGTTCAAAGTCTATCGCTAAACACACAAACTCTGAGAGCGAAGACATTAGTAATAATACCCTCAATAGATATAACTCACTGGAATGGAGGCCAGAGCTTGTTTTGAGTTGTTTTATAACTAGTGGTCACAGAAATCACAAATTGCTTTTACAGACATGAGATTCATAAATAATTCAGACCAACGAGAGCTAACATACATTAGCCATATATTCGGTAAATATTTGTTAGCATTCAATAAGTGAATTTCATAACTTGTTTTATAACAACAAAGTACAAGGAATTTCTTTCTCCCAAAGATTATACAATAAGTTATTTTCTCCTTATATAACAAAAACCATTCAAAAACCACTACTCAGAAGCCATTGACTAAAAACAAATACTCTATATATTAATAAAATACATATACTATCCGTCCATCTCTTAAATAATTAATTGCATAATACATATCTGTGTACATATAGTGCCATAAAGGTATATACCGATTTACAACTAATTATTATAGAGTATATTTTTCTTTATAAATACACCTTTAATTATTTTCATCGAATCTACCCTGATAATCGTAAGCCTCGGATCGATATAATGGTTCTCTAAATTTACCGGATACATATTTTGTACATTTTCATCACTTAATACATTTGTTTAGACATTTTTCTCAACGACTGAAAACATAATCTCTCTTTTCTTTGCTCTTTATTTGGTTGAAGAGATCTGTTGAAGAAAAAGCAGTTTTGCCCTCTTTTTTGATGCTTTTTTGCTGTAATTCAGGCGAACCTGGAGTACGAGTGGAGAGTGGAGTCGGCGGTAATAATAATGTCAGTAATACCTGCTTTTTGGTGATAACGCCATTGGATTCTTAAGTTACTACACATTTGAAAAACACTTATTATATGCTTTGCTCACAAGTATTGTACACACAATGGTGTGCCAAAACCATAACACATATACTACACACTGCTCATTCACTAATACATAATTTATAGGCATTTTCGTAGGGAAACCTCAAATTTTAGTCCATTTTGATTAGCTTTTATAAAAAGCGTTAAATAAGAATATCGTTATTAAGTTTTGTTTATTATATGTTATTATTATAATAAATGCCTTTTTATACCCTTTAAATATATAGATAATAAGTCGACGAAACTATCTTTATATTCATCTTTTGTACCAAAATATAGCCTACAATACACTCCGTGCGAGAAGTTATCGATAATTCATAGAAATCTAATAAAAAGGACAAAAAATGTTTTCTCAGTTTTGGTTTCAAAATATTTATTATCTATTTTGAGAAGAAATTGCAATTTTTATATAATGCTTAGCCTTTAAAAAATATGGTATCATATCATATATGTGTATAAGAAATAAATGCAATAAATCTCTTCATTAATCGATTGGTTATCAATTGTCAACAGCACTAAAAGAGTCGCGAAATTGTTTTTAACCGGATTTTAATGTGTTTAAAGTATTTTTTATTTTATTTATTATATTGAGATAGAGTTCTCTAAACTAAATATTTATTTTAATAAATATATGAATTTATATCATATATTAATGATTATTATTATTACTCCTTTTAAAAAATCATTACAACAACCCATAAAAATTCCATTGAATTCTTTAATACATAAGAAAACCTTTTTATTTATTAATAATTCAAAAATTTTTCTTTAACACAATTTTCAACTTTTTTGTTGCTGTTGTTGAATCCCTTAATGATTAATAACTTGTTTTAATAATATAGTTTGCATCCGAAAGGCTATTATTAAGGCTATTATTTGAAAATAATAATGAGTTAAGTGTTAAGCGAAACAAAATAGTTGTTGAAAAAACATATTTAATTACGAGTAATGAGTGCCGATAAGGAATGGCATATATATTGCGGGATAAGAGGGCATAGAAATGAATGTAAAAATTTCATTTAATTTCTATTTTCTGCGAATAAATGATAATTGAATGCTTTGTTGTGTCGAAAGTTAATCCAATGATTGAAATAATAATCAATTATCTGAATAACTGTTGGTTTCGTATGAATTTGAGCGCCAGTAGTGTCTCTATTGTCTGCTCATAGCTGTTGTGTTTCGCTAGTGATAGATGAGCTCCGGTAGTAGTAAATGCCGTCAAACGTCAACCAATTACATCGACTTGTGTGCTGTACCTACAGTACAATGAGTGTAACTGAGCACTCATTAAGCCGACCAAACCTGAGCACCGGTATCCCTCTCGACATCGGTGGTCTATGTGCCGGTGCCGTACAGAATCCACTCCTCTATACTCTCTTTTGGCAATTCCATTGAGAAGTTAAGGCCATCACCAGTACTACACTATAACTATCTATTATATGAGTTGAAATGTTTGGGCAATACCTGTATTCATAATGTAGTGTCGAATGGCGTACACTATGCTTAAGGTGTCATCAAAAGGCCAATTAGCGCCACTATGTGTACAGTGAAGGACTGGTAGTACCGTAGATGCCCTTCCACTATCAGGTCATTATATGTTAGGTCTGGTGGTGGCGTTTGCTTCACCACTCGCTTCGAGCGAATTATTTTCAGCAACTTTTTTACGGTATTATTATATTGTTGTAGACATTGAAGAAAACACTGGCTTTTTATGACTCTTCTGCCTGTTGTGTGCACTTGTGGTCCACTTCTCAGCTCTCTTTCCCTTCGCTCTCTTTCTCTCTTTCTTTCTCTCTTTCTCTCTCTCTCTCACTGTACCCTCTGGTTAAGGATGTGAATAATAAAGAGTGAAATAATTTCTAACCTAAACTATCCGGTGATAATGACAGGGGCGTCGAGGCATACATATATACACACAACACATATACACATCTCTCACACCGTACCCTCTGGTTAAGGATGTGAATAATAAAGAGTGAAATAATTTCTAACCTAAACTATCCGGTGATAATGACAGGGGCGTCGAGGCATACATATATACACACAACACATATACACATCTCTCTCGTATATATAATATCTCTTTCTCTCGTTTTTACACACATTTAGCGCACAAACTATACGTTTGACTTAATTTGAAATATTTCTTCTTTTATTAGTTATTTGTTATTCGCTTTTAAAAGTCATATATATTTCGCGCATTGATTACACAATCGATACTATAA